CAATATGAACTTTATTATTCACGGAAGTTACTCTTGCTAGCTACGTTGTACTAACTACCATCATCAAGTAACTAGGCCTGTTCACAGAAATTATAATTAATTATTATGGAGAAGAGGTGAAAAAGTAATTACAACGACAAAGTAAAGATATCGGCTTAAAGTCTCAGTGGAAATCAACCAAGAATTTTGTTCATAATTTAAACTAGAGGGATAAACAGGTAGGTAGGAGATCGTAACATTCCATCATATCTCCTAAAGAGGTTATGTGACCAAAGAGAACAGAAACTGAACAAACGAGATTCTTTTCCATTTGACAAAATTCGAAAGCTTTTATGAGTTCACCTTCTCTTCACTTCAAACAGAAGCCTGGTCAATGCTTCTTATAGATAACATGAATTGTCGGCTCTTTAACAAGAACATCATAAATAGAGCAATTTATTGTTAAAAAAATCACAACGTTTTTTAAACAGAGCTATAACGTTTGTTTAATAAATAATAAATAATGAACTGGTCTTGGTAGGATATTCCAGGGTGCACTGCAATGTTTTTTTTCGTTTTATAGGTTTAGACACAAATGGCGACCTCTTTAATGACGTCACTTAGCGAGTAGAGAACGACGTAATTGCGGTAAATCGTCACCATGTCATCTGTAATAGGACCTTGCTGTAGAGAGAGATTTTACTTCAGGTTCACGATTTTTCTATTTTCACTCAACAAAAATATATTAAACAAAACAGATATCTGAAAAATGTGGAAGGTTTTTTAAACGAAAACCCAGGAGGGCAGGAAAAAAAAACGTTAACTAAAAATTCAAGATTTAACGTAAGATATTGTTTTATTCACAAATTGACGGTTACAAAACAAAACAGGCAGAAATTATTTCCTCACATTGTAAATCACATCTGCATTCAAAACGAGGCAAAATTGAACAAAAAAGATAATTTCGCTAGACGTTTTTCAGTTTGGATCTCCATTATTGTCATCGTCGTCATTTTTAACTTTAAGTTTCTCTTCATTTTATCCTCAATGTTTGCTTTTATTCAAGCTGTCCCCTGTTTCTTTAATTTTATTTCACTGTTGAAGGTTTTTGCTTTGCTTTGTTTTGATTTTTTTTTCACAGAAGTAAGGGTTACTTTAAATATTGCGACCAGTTAAGTGAAATTCCTAAAGCAGTGACCCAGTTCCCTTGGCAACACCGACGCACCTCGGAATCACTAAGCTATAGAAGTTAACTTTGTTCTCAAATCGACGGTCTCGGGGTATTTTCTACTCGCAATTTCTTAGATAGTAATGAAAATAATTTGTATGAGTGATAGCTTACCAATAAGGTGTTGTTAACAAGTCCTTGCAGGTGTGCGCGAATGATCAGGTTCATCTGAGCCGAACTATTTCCAGTTACTGCAGTGGGTACAGGAACGCTATTTTTCCTCATCTGAAAAGTTTGCAAAAATGTTGACATTGTAAGAAGGGTTTTTAATGTTTATAGCCATGGCATTCTCCGCATTCCTTAAGCCGTATTTCACTTCCAGTAAAAGTTGTGATAGACTATAAGAACTGAAGGCGCTTTTTTAAAACAATAAAACCTCCCTTAAGCGACTACCCAAAATGCGAAGAGTTAGTCGTCTCTTACGAGAATCGGGCCACAGGCGGTCCCTTCCAAGGGGAGATCTCGATACATATACTTTTTGGTAGATAATTAATCGCACATGTGTATAGTTCCGCTTTCTCGTTATAGACTCTTCACAATGTCTGAGTAGCGCACTGCACACAGTGAACATAGAGATCAAACCATGAGTCAAGCGGTCGCGTACAAGAGGTTAAAAAAAATGGACAATTATAAAACTGTCAGCCCAAAAAGTGGTCACGGCCCTGGGCCCGGGGGTCACAGTAGCTCACAAGATGTGGTCGGTTACGAGTGGTTCTAACTTTGACTGGAAAAATTTTGTCATTTGTATAGATGGTAGCTTATGGGAGGTAGTCGCTCACGAGTGGTGGGCGCACATGGAGGTTTGACTGTCTATACTTGGATGTTTGGCATATTTGTCATACATAGAAAAGGTATGAGGTGACGTAAGAACAGCAAGGGAGGCTCAAGACTACAAATGATTAAGGGTACTAAATTTTTCTCTGGGGTTTCATTTTTGACTTTTGTCAAAACCTTCGCTATCCACGAATCAGTGAGTTTGGGAAAGCTATTAATGATTTTTTCTATTACTTTTTTTCCCTTTAATACAGTGAAATTTCTGGCTATATTCGTTACCTCACTACTGATCAGGACAGATGAAGCATTGACGTCAGTGCTTATATCCCAGAGCACCTGAGCCAGCAGACTGTGCAGTGGTCCTTGGTTTTCTTCATAAGATAAGGCCATGTACAGAGGACTTCTGAAGATATCCAACTTCTCGTACGCGATAGTTAGATTGTCTTTTAAATTCTGCAGACAGAAAAAAAAGTATTGATATGCATTATTACTTATAAAGGGTCCAGAACTGTATAACTTTTATTCGCTATTTTTGTGGCAAAAACACGTATTTAAGCAATCGCGTCAATAAATAAAAAAATACATAAACATCAAAGAGCAAACAAGAGATTTGCTACTTTTTCGCAATTCCTTTCAATTGATAGCACGTAGATGACGTGATTGTACGAATCCTCTAGTGATAACCTGATACTACAATACTCATGACTTCATGAAATGTATCAAACACGAGACTGACTGTTTTAACACATATGAAGCAGTGAAAAGGAGCTGATCATGAAAACTAGTAAGACGCCTTGAAGGTTAATTTAGACGAATTTTTATTAGCTTGGAATTATTTTAAAACATCTTAAAGTGTTTGACTTGCGCAAATGATTAGCAAGGACTGAACGTTTGGGATCGAAAAAAAGTTTTATTTGTGGTTTGAATTTTTGATCCCCAAATGAAGTAAAAAGTACCACAGTACTAACATATTAGAGGTTTAGCAACAGTACGTTAAATACTTAAACAGCAGGGGGGCTGAAAGTCTGAGTAGATACCTTATTTGATGTGCACGATTGTGTGTTGACTTGTGGTGGAAACTGGCTGAAAGGGGGCTCCTGGAGATAACTTGTCGAGGCAATGAACTGATAAAGACTTTTCATCTGAAAAAAGTAATTAAAGAGAGAAATATTCTCAATTTCAAAGAATTGTTGAAGGGTACCTAAAAAATCAACAACCACAACAAGAACAACAAAACTATATTTTTCCCTGCCAGTGGCTAGGAGTGAAAGTTGACAAAAATCAGAAACAAATAACCGTCTTGTATAAACACGACAAAGATTTTCTTCAACATATTTCCTAAAACAAGAGAGTTTTGTTTAAGCCCGTTCGTTCCTGGACTTTTCGTGAAAAAACTGACGCCTTTTGAAAGATATACTAAAGCCGTTTTCTGGTTTTAGTTGAGACGAAAACAAGAAAGTCAAAGATTTAAAGAACCAAATGATTAAACCATGCAATCTCTGTTTTCAATCTAGAAACTGCACTGAGTTTCTAATTTGAAACTAAAGGTTTTGGAATTTTTTTGAGGCGTACAACTGAAGAAATCTCATCCGGGTATACTTTGAAAATGAAAATTAGTTTGAGCTACATAAGTAGTGCCCAAGTTGTGAGGTATCTGTTTATGGTCATTAAAATAAGAGAATAAGAATAAGCGTTAATCATATAACATGTCTTAAAGTATGCTTTTCCACTTGCAATTTTCAATCACGTTACTTCTAGTTTTAGTACTGCGTCATGACATCGGGAAACTCGTAAGCACGGCAGTTTTGTATCACATAATTGATAGACCCTTACAAACATGGTGACCGCAAATGCGCTCTAGCTAGGATCACGATGTGCAATGAACCTGAAATGATTAACCCTGATGCAAAATTTTAATTCTCGTTTGTTGTCACATCGCATTTCCCTCAGACGAAATAGGGAGAAGTTGTTTAAGTATCAGTTTAATTCATTCTTCTGTGATCAGGTCCTTAATTCTTGTGACCACTTTTTTTCCGCCTATAAAGTAGAGATATAACAGGACGAAATTTGATGCTGAACACTCTAATAAGGTCCTAAAGGGTTAAAATTTTTAAGTTTGCAATTTACCCACTTCTTGAAAAAACATTTGATGCTTCTCAACTGGATTTATTTCACAGCTCTCTCTCAGCTAAGATCTTGAGTTTATTTATTTATCTCTTTTTTTGGAGCCTGTGTTATTTACCGGTGAGTGAACTTTGATAATTCTCGCGTAATTTACACGAAAACGTTAGAGGACTTTAGTGATACGGCCCTCGTTTCTCATGGTATGGTAATAAAACTCCCTACTGGCTAGACTCAAGATTAGTCCGAAGTGTGGAGCGTTTGCTTTCCGAAGAGGGTGTCATCATAAGATTGCACAAGTGTACAATGTCATTAGGAAGTAATAAAGGGGGACTGAAGCAAAAAAAATACAGATGATTGTTTTAATAGCATTTTATTGTTAATTTAACAACAAGAAGCTTACAATAAATTATAGTCGTTAAAACATCTGTGACAGATTACAGTATAAACTGACCATGGTCAGCTACAAACAATGATCTCAATATGGACTTTGTCGTTAAACTCAGATAACTAAGCTACTTCGTGCTGTAAATGACTTCATAAAAATTGAAGTTACTATAATTTAGTCGACAAGGGCAAGATAAGCGGGAAAAAATGCGGTCAAAAATAGTACAGTGAATCTACAGACTCATCAACTTATTCCTTTTTAACTAACATTAAGGTCATTAAGCTAGACAGAAGACTACTTAGAAATGATTGGACCTCTCAGAGATCATTTCATTTCTGCAATTCAGACATGAGCTTAAACGCTTCTTATTTTAAATAACATTAAAGGTGCTTTTTAAATAGAATTATCAAATTTTTTCCAAACGTAGTCTTATGGATTCCTTCATAAGTAATAAATAATAATGACGTCCTATTTTTGTAATCCACGGTGCAACGCAATCTATTTTTTCCTTCATAAATTGTACACACAAACGGCGGCCTCCTTAATGACGCCACTTAGCGAGTGGAGTACGACGTAATTCCTGTAAATCGTCACCTTGTCATCGGTAATCGGGCCTTTCTGTAAAAAAGAAGGGATTTCATTTCAGACATTTTTGAAGACATTTTTTTTCATCTCAGCCAAACGCGATAAAGCATACATTAGCATGAATGATCAACAGGTCCCTGTCCCAGGCCTAGGGAGAGGGGGGGTGGGGGTTACTCCCATATTTAAAGGGCACACACTGAGCTGAGCCGAAATTATTACTAGTTTTCTAAGGAATCTTTTTCCATACTTGGGTTTCTGAAAGAAAGACATTAGATGATTCTATCAAAAGAAAACCATAGCATGATCGGTTTTTGGTCTTTTTTCGACAACTCAGGAGCTTTACGTGAAAAAGGTGGCCCAATTTTATCAAGTTGCGATCCGTCTCCATCCTGGCCATAGAAAATCATTTCATACTGACTTTTAGTTCCAGTACAGTAGGAGAGTGATTTTGAATAAAAAGGAACCATTATTTCAGGATCTTTTCGATCCCAATGTCTTTTTAGGGCCGGGTTTTAAAGTAATAATAGTTGTATTATGTGATAGCTTACCAGCAAGTTGATATTAACAAGGGCTTGGAGATATGCGCGAATATCTCGGTTCATCTGCGCCGTAGAATTTCCGTATGCAGTAGTGGGTACAGGAAAGCCTTTGTTTTGCATCTGAAAAGTTTGTAAAAAATCAAGTTGTTAATGGAAAGTGTGTCTTTTATACTTAATGCGCCTAACATGAAGCCTGTGTACAGAGGAGGGGGTGTCTGTGCACAGGCTACGTAACATGCTACATTTCCTAAAACTATGTCATTTCGGGTAGGTTTGAGAAGTGTAAATTCAGCTGTAAATACTAGTGTATTGAATTCAATAGATCAGTATTATATTCTTATGTTCAATAGATTCTTTATTTCAGTGCCCAGTTGGTCGAAAGGTTAATAACGCTATCCACTGGATAAATCTCTATCCAGTGGATAGCACAATTGGTTTCCCTAAAACTTATCTTCGGGAGAATGATTTATCCGATGGATCGCGCTATCCAACGTTTGAACAAATGGGGCCAGTAGTATTCTTAAGAAGCGTGATACTTCTGACTTTCTTAGGCTGCAAAACACGACCAGTTGGCTTTTGTGATCGATACGGAACAGAGAAATTTGGGAACAAATAAGCATGATTTAACCCCTCTATCTTCCGTGCTAAGATAGCTGGGGAAAGAGGTAAAAAGAAAGCGCGCGAGGGACGATGGGTAGGTAAAGAGAAACAGAGCTCCCTCTTTCCATTGTCCTCCGCGGGCTTCTTACTTTTGCTTTACAGTGGAACCTCGATAAACGAACCTCTAGGTGCGGAGTCCTCGCTGTAACGAATGATATTCTTCGCCCCAGCAATAGTACAATATATGAAAAAAAATTCGATATAACGAACCCTCTCACAAATTTTCCAGTCCCTGTATAACGCTTTCTTTTGGAATATCGATAAGAGCCTCTGTGGCGGAGAGTGAAATTCGCAAGTTTATTTTACTCTGAAAGCAGTTAAAATTAGCTTCTTATTAGTACCTCACGGCTGAGCATCACAGTTGAAGCATTGACGTAAGTGCTTATGTCCCAGAGCACCTGAGCCAGCGAATTGTGCAGCGGCCCTTGGTTTTCTTCATAAGATAAGGCCATGTACAGTGGACTTTTGAAGATATCCATCTTCTCGTAGGCGATTGTTGCATTGTCTTTCAATAGCTGCAGACAGAGGGTTGTTATATTAAAATGCACATCTTACAGAGAGTCTAGAACTGTATAACTTATTCAATATTTTATTGCATGCAAAAACTTTCAAACGCCCTTCAGTAAAGGCTTGAAACCTCCTTAAACTGGGAATATAACTTTCTGGATATCAAACAAACAAACAAACAAACTGTTTATAAGTACATATATAGCTGAGATAGAAGTTCCAATGGTACCTGATTTGATGTGCAAGATTGTGTGTTGATTTGTGGTGGAAATTTCGCGAAAGGTGGCTCTTTAAGATAGCTTGTCGATGTGATGAACTGATAAAGGTTTTTCATCTGAAAAAAAAAATAAGAATAAGGATAAGAATAAGAGAGACAAATGTTATCAATTTGCGATGCTATTTTCTACAGAAAACTAAACGGAGAAAAAAGTTGTAGTCAAGGTTCATGAAGGTTGAGAAGTCAGTGAGGCTAGCACAAACGGTCTTTCTTCAAACAAGACAAATATTAAAGGGTTTAGTTTTATCGTTTGTCTCACGATTGTCACTTTGATATCCATCACGACGTTTCGACCGCACACTGAAGGTCATCATCATCGCCTGATGAAGACCTGCAATTTGCGGTCGAAACGTCGCGATCAATATCGTGAGACGAACGATAAAAGCGGAACCCTTTATACGCATTATCCACGATGATTAATATCTTTCATGACAAGACCGAAAAAGAAAAGTGTGTTGGAAGAAATATTTGGCAAATATTTTTTTCCAAAATACTTTTCTAAACCATTCACGCCTAGACGTATCTCCAAAAAAACCTTTGCAAGTTATACTTAAAGGGGCTATCCAGTCACCAGGATATTGCGGCGGTTTTAGGTCAATTCTGTGCTGAAGTCATTATTTAGTGCACTATACCCATACACAAAATGCTCCTATAAAGTTACGAAGAAGATATCAAACGAATTTCATCAGCTGTTCATCAGGGATAACTAAGCATTTTTCTTTAGTGATTTTTGCATGCATAGCATTGAATCTTGAAAACTTTGGCCCAGCCTTTTTCCAGTCTTAATCCATGACCTTCCTTGCCATCCATCGGCAATAATAGGCTCGATTACCAGCCGCTGTTCGGGAAAATGAGCCCGCACTCATCCTCCGAAAGTCTCTCTTCGGGGAGGATCAAAGAACGGACCCGAGAGACGGCGGAAATCGAGCCTATTGCAATAGACGAGAGGAGACAGTTTTAATGCCTAAACATAGTCTTCGATAATAAAACTGGACCATTTTTTTCGAATAAAATTGATGCCAAAAAATTTTTCGCTTTTTAAAAAGATAACAGATAGTGTGACATAGCCCGTTTAAGTAGTTTTCTGGTCATGTTCGAACAGCAACAACAAAAAAGAAACAAAAATAACCCAATCCAATCTTTGTTTGCAATTCCATAACTACGCTCTTTCGCTTTTTGTGGTGTGAAAATACAGCTAATTTTTTTTGCTTGCCTATTTCTTAACTCTTGCTGTTTTTTAACTACGTTTGTGGGAAAGGCCTTCGCGCAATTACCGAAGAACACAGAAATTTTTTGAAAGAAGTACTTTATCATTTTGCTCTTTCATACCTCTTGTGTGGCGTTGGTGGTTTTCTGCGGAATCAGATAAGTGACAAGACTGTGCAGCGTACTTGGTGTTGAATACATTGGAGCACCTAGACTTTGTGATCTCAATGTTGACGCAATAATGGTAGTGATAAGGATCTTTAGGAGTTCCATTTTGCTCTGTAAAAGAGGATAGAATACAAATATAAAAAATACATTAAAAAATTCGGAATGTACATCATCATATGTTTAAAAAATAGGTACACGCATATCTGTGTATTTTCTCCTTAATATGAATGGAGTATATCCATTTGCGTTAAAAAACGTAGGGCAATAGAGAAATAGAGTGATGACGTGACAAAAACTAAATTCGTGAAATTACGGGATGAGCGGGTATATCCAGAAAGAATAAGATGAAAAATTTTCGCTTGCCCAAAATCAGCTTGTTATTGCAAATTTGAGGGAGGATATAAGTATTGTTATGCTGCGATATAATCACTCCTGGAGTTACCAAAATCTATGACATTAGAGGGTAACAGGGCACTGTTACCCACGAATGTTGACCGACGACCGCCGTTGCAGCGAGGTTTAATGAATTTGCAGCTTCAAAATTTCCACCTGGTCCCTCGGGAAACAGTTAATTTTCTTTCCCGAGAATCTCAGGGCCAGTTATTTCAACGGAGTTTAGCCAGTGTTTAACAAAACTGCGTTCTAAGTCATTTTCAGTTCGACAATGCTTCCGTCTAAGCACCATTTATCTTGAAAAGATTCGTGAAAGCATGAGGCGTAGACTAGAAGAGGACTTATTTTCTTAAAATTACCCACTAAGGAAGATATCTCGATGTCCAAAGATTTGCTAAACCGCGGCCTAGGATAGACTTCGTTTATAACCGACCCCCCTTTTTTGCCGAGGCGGATTCCCGAGGCCGAGCCGAGGGAAACATTGAGATTCGAGGGAAGCAAAATTAACTGTTTCCCGAGGGACCGGTCATTAAAAAGTTTATTGTTCAATGAAATATTTTGATGGAGTATTCGAGCAGAGCCCAACACATAAAAACAAATAGAGAAACTATTTAGCCCAATAGTAGTGAGCGTAATTTTAATCGCATATGTACACAAGGTACCCAGAATAATTTAGCGCGCAGAGATACATAGCGTAAAATGACATTTTACTTACCTTTCACTCAGTCGATTTTAGGTTAACTTCTTTGCAGTGAGAGGTTGTTTGACTGAGAGTTAAACCCTTGGTCCTCCTTATATGCCAACTGCAGAGGAAGACGTAATCCGCCTTCCATCATTTTCTGTAAGGATGAATTTTGATTTATTCCTGTGACAAATCTTTCCCTAGTCGATATACTTCCAATCATATCATATTCTGGGAAATATTCTTTCCTACCATCACATATGGTATATTCTGTAATGCTGTATAGATATAGATTATATGGACTCCGGAATGGGTGGTGTTATCGACTACAAAACTAGTTCGTTCAGTGGAAGAAGTAACTCGATGCAGGGTCGCATCATTTTGCGGTAAGGGTAAATTGTCTCGGTTTATTCTTGTAACACATCTTTCCCTGGCTGAAATACTTTCAAAAATCATGTTATATTCTCAGACGTATTCCGCTGTAGTATCGCGTGTCGTTAAACAGAAAACATTCAATAATTTTTCTGTCCAAAAGGAAACTTATTTAAGAACACATTACTTCTACTTCAATGCCGGAAAGTTCGTTTAATGGAAGATAACTTATTTTGAGATTTTTTCTTAAAATTTACCCTTCCTTTCTTCTTAATAATATACTAATAGCTCCTCTTTTGATTCTTGCAATTTCGTCCGTAAGGTATCTCAATCTTTGGGCGAAGTATCAGGGGAATTTACGTTGTCCTTTAAATCCAAACTGAAAGTTTTTGAACGGAAGATTGAACACTCGTCGAAGGTAACGTAAAAATCTCAACTTGTCACAATAAGTCAAATTCCTTTTAAGTATATTATCAGGAAATGCCGCTAGATATGATATTCGATATCTGTCTGAGAACATTCCGTTTTGCTTAACTGACGTAATAATGAGCTTTATTGAGGAAACGAATTGAGCGCGAAAAACTGTTTTAGAGCTTCTGTTTAGCTATAAAGAAATGTCCTTGAATTATACAAAGCAAGCTTTCTTGTGCAAAGCCAACCGTCTTTAAAATAAAAGAATGAAAGCATAGTGAATGAAAGTATAGTCGGTTGAGCAAGAGTCTGTGATACACAGAGCCCAGAAGGGAGGGGGGTCAGGACGGTACTCCCTTATATAAGCTGTATCGGTATGTGCAGCCCTTCCTTTTGAAATTGGGTATTGAATTTAATCGTGTGGAAGTAACATACGGTAAGGTTTTGTGTTCTTTCAAACCCAGCTCTCTTAACAACCTATAGCGCACACCCTACCCCCACTAGAACTGACCAGGACAGCCCCCCCTCCCCGGAACATAGAGAAAAGCTTATGCAAATTACTGACAGGCAACGACTGCTTTCTGTAAAATATCTGTTCGGAGAAGCAAAAATTGCCTAGAATTTTCTGTAGCTTGAGGAATGCTAAAAATTTCTAGATGACTACTTATTTTAGAAGCTTATTTAAGTAAATTTTCCTACGCCCAGGTTAAGCTATATTTCGTAGAAAAAGGAAACCTAAAATTTTCGGATTCGAAAATGCGATGGAGAGAGGAATCAGAAGAATTCTCAGTTTCGTAAAACTTTAAATGGCATTTGGAATTTTCTGGAAAATAATACTGAAGCCTTTATAATCATTTCGAAAAGACTCAAGTTGCTCTTGGATGACCGAACAGGTACCGTATTTTTATAGCGCCGCTAAAAATGCCGGCTTTCTAGAGATCTAAAGGTACTAGATAGCCTAAAAAGTGTTTACAATACCTTTAGCAGGAAACCGTCGTTGGGTGTCCTTGAAATTATTTATAGAGTTTGCGATTCAGTGACATTTTTAAATCGAGCCCATTATTGATAATGCCCGTCTACTGAAACCAATATCCCCGGATGGGTTGTAGGTATACATATTGGATCTCTATTATGAGTTCTGTTTTTAACTGCAGTTCAGTTAGAAAGTTAGTTATCGTACTATCGAACAAGGTATCGAACACGATACGGAGTGACGGCCCCAGTGGCTTGTATGGTGCATTAACTACAACTTTAGGATCATCTTCGTCGACAGTTCAAAATGCCGATAATGTCAGACGTGGAAAGAAAAAAGAAGAGATCTATTCCTGAGATGTTTTGTTATGGCAAGATTCCGAACAGGAACCAATTCTCTAGCTACATTGCTAAACATAGGTTAATGTCTTCCTGTTGATATTCAGAAACTTTGTGCTTAAGATAAATGTTGATTTTAACTCTGAGCTATATTGAAACAAACAAACAAACAAAACAGAAATAAAGCAAAGCAGGCAGACGAGGCGTCCGAATATCCATAAAGGATTGTTTAGTTTAAAAGTAAAAGCATTCTAACAGCACGTCTACGAAAAAAAAATCCTGAACATCAGAAGTTTAAGAGTTACGATGTTCTTCAGCGAGGAATCTAACTTTTTAACTGAAAAGCGGTTGTGATATCTACTCAGATAATTTTGTATTTGTTACATTGTATACAGGTATGTATGGCGCCATGATTTTTGAGCCCTTTTGGTTCGAAATAACAGTTTAACTTAGAGTAAAATAAAGTTTTGTGTTCTCTGGATCGAGGGTTTCGGGAAGTGGGTATTGGGTGTTATCAAAAACTGAATCATTGGATAATGCAATTCTAGAGCTCTGATTGGCTTAGCCATCATGGTATATGAGCCATTATACCATGCACTCCAAATACGATAACTGTGCCGGCGCGTCTGCTCAAAATTAAAAACAAGCTGAAAATCGGTTGTTTTTACAGACAAAGTCGGGAAGAATTCTCGATATGTTATGGGCGTTTTTAATAAAACAATTTTTCCACTCGCTCTTGTTGGATATGAGATGATTATAGCCAACTCGACGCTACGCTCATATACAACGCGCACTCGTGGAATAATTGTTAATTATTATCATTCATCTCTCTAGAACATCTGTTCAGTTATGATAAAGGGTACAAGAATACTAGGAATGGTCTTTCCCAGAGGTAAAATTAGGCTGAGTCACGTCTGCATTGGTCTTCTTTACAGATATTTAACACTAAGAGAAATGAGCGGAACAAAAAAGAAGCAGCGGAGAAACAATTTTTTTTTCAAACTATCTGAAGCTAGGGTTTGCAAAATGTTCTGTCAAATTAAAAAAAGTAAAATTTTTGAAGGAAATCAGTATACTTGATTAAATACAACTTAAGTTTAGAGACTCCCTCTTCTATACAAACCAGTGCAACCATTGATATAATTATTTGTCGTTAAAAGTATATTTGAAGTCAGTTGTATTACAAAAAGTTGGTCTTTTAACTTCAAGGAAAGTTGTAGCATTATTTGAAGGAGATTCTTGAATGAAGCTTTTCAAAACCATCTTGCCCTGACCTTCATGCAAACGTCGATGAAATTGTTAAGTGTTGTATCTCCAAGAAGTTGACATTTACACAACTTCTTTAGAAGGAAAATAATTATAGCAAATGAGAAATAAACACAATTCTTCTTTTTTAAAAATTTTATTGTTAATTTAACAAAAAGGCGCTTACAATGATTTCTAGGCGTTACAAATCTGTGACAGATTACAGTATAAACTGATCACGATCAGTTATAAACAATGATTTCAATATGAACTTTATTATTCACGGAAGTTACTCTTGCTAGCTACGTTGTACTAACTACCATCATCAAGTAACTAGGCCTGTTCACAGAAATTATAATTAATTATTATGGAGAAGAGGTGAAAATTACAACGACAAAGTAAAGATATCGGCTTAAAGTCTCAGTGGAAATCAACCAAGAATTTTGTTCATAATTTAAACTAGAGGGATAAACAGGTAGGTAGGAGATCGTAACATTCCATCATATCTCCTAAAGAGGTTATGTGACCAAAGAGAACAGAAACTGAACAAACGAGATTCTTTTCCATTTGACAAAATTCGAAAGCTTTTATGAGTTCACCTTCTCTTCACTTCAAACAGAAGCCTGGTCAATGCTTCTTATAAATAACATGAATTGTCGGCTCTTTAACAAGAACATCATAAATAGAGCAATTTATGGTTAAAAAAATCACAACTTTTTTTAAACAGAGCTATAACGTTTGGTCAATAAATAATAAATAATGAACTGGTCTTGGTAGGATATTCCAGGGTGCACTGCAATCTTTTTTTTCGTTTTATAAGTTGTAGACACAAATGGCGACCTCTTTAATGACGTCACTTAGCGAGTAGAGAACGACGTAATTGCGGTAAATCGTCACCATGTCATCTGTAATAGGACCTTGCTGTAGAGAGAGATTTTACTTCAGGTTCACGATTTTTCTATTTTCACTCAACAAAAATATATTAAACAAAACAGATATCTGAAAAATGTGGAAGGTTTTTTAAACGAAAACCCAGGAGGTTAAAAAAACGTTAACTAAAAATTCAAGATTTAACGTAAGATATTGTTATATTCACAAATTGACGGTTACAAAACAAAACAGGCAGAAATTATTTCCTCACATTGTAAATCACATTTGCATTCAAAACGAGGCAAAATTGAACAAAAAAGATAATTTCGCTAGACGTTTTTCAGTTTGGATCTCCATTATTGTCATCGTCGTCATTTTTAACTTGAAGTTTCTCTTCATTTTATCCTCAATTTTTGCTTTTATTCAAGCTGTCCCCTGTTTCTTTAATTTTATTTCACTGTTGAAGGTTTTTGCTTTGTTTTGTTTTGATTTTTTTTTTCACAGAAGTAAGGGTTACTTTAAATATTGCGACCAGTTCAGTGAAATTCCTAAAGCAGTGACCCAGTTCCCTTGGCAACACCGACGCACCTCGGAATCACTAAGCTATAGAAGTTAACTTTGTTCTCCAATTGACGGTCTCGGGGTATTTTCTACTCGCAATTTCTTAGATAGTAATGAAAATAATTTATATGAGTGATAGCTTACCAATAAGGTATTGTTAACAAGTCCTTGCAGGTGTGCGCGAATGATCAGGTTCATCTGAGCCGAACTATTTCCAGTTACTGCAGTGGGTACAGGAACGCTATTTTTCCTCATCTGAAAAGTTTGCAAAAATGTTGACATTGTAAGAAGGGTTTTTAATGTTTATAGCCATGGCATTCTCCGCATTCCTTAAGCCGTATTTCACTTCCAGTAAAAGTTGTGATAGACTATAAGAACTGAAGGCGCTTTTTTAAAACAATAAAACCTCCCTTAAGCGACTACCCAAAATGCGAAGAGTTAGTGGTCTCTTACGAGAATCGGGCCACAGGCGGTCCCTTCCAAGGGGAGATCTCGATACATATACTTTTTGGTAGATAATTAATCGCACATGTGTATAGTTCCGCTTTCTCGTTATAGACTCTTCACAATGTCTGAGTAGCGCACTGCACACAGTGAACATAGAGATCAAACCATGAGTCAAGCGGTCGCGTACAAGAGGTTAAAAAAAATGGACAATTATAAAACTGTCAGCCCAAAAAGTGGTCACGGCCCTGGGCCCGGGGGTCACAGTAGCTCACAAGATGTGGTCGGTTACGAGTGGTTCTAACTTTGACTGGAAAAATTTTGTCATTTGTATAGATTGTAGCTTATGGGAGGTAGTCGCTCACGAGTGGTGGGCGCACATGGAGGTTTGACTGTCTATACTTGGATGTTTGGCATATTTGTCATATATAGAAAAGGTATGAAGTGACGTAAGAACCGCAAGGGAGGCTCAAGACTACAAATGATTAAGGGTACTAAATTTTTCTCTGGGGTTTCATTTTTGACTTTTGTCAAAACCTTCGCTATCCACGAATCAGTGAGTTTGGGAAAGCTATTCATGATTTTTTCTATTATTTTTTTTTTCCTTTAATACAGTGAAATTTCTGGCTATATTCGTTACCTCACTACTGATCAGGACAGATGAAGCATTGACGTCAGTGCTTATATCCCAGAGCACCTGAGCCAGCAGACTGTGCAGTGGTCCTTGGTTTTCTTCATAAGATAAGGCCATGTACAGAGGACTTCTGAAGATATCCAACTTCTCGTACGCGATAGTTAGATTGTCTTTTAAATTCTGCAGACAGAAAAAAAAAGTATTGATATGCATTATTACTTATAAAGGGTCCAGAACTGTATAACTTTTATTCGCTATTTTTGTGGCAAAAACACGTATTTAAGCAGACGCGTCAATAAATAAATAAATAAATAAATACATAAACATCAAAGAGCAAACAAGAGATTTGCTACTTTTTCGCAATTCCTTTCAATTGATAGCACGTAGATGACGTGATTGTACGAATCCTCTATTGATAACCTGATACTACAATACTCATGACTTCATGAAATGTATCAAACACGAGACTGACTGTTTTAACACATATGAAGCAGTGAAAAGGAGCTGATCATGAAAACTAGTAAGACGCCTTGAAGGTTAATTTAGACGAATTTTTATTAGCTTGGAATTATTTTAAAACATCTTAAAGTGTTTGACTTGCGCAAATGATTTGCAAGGACTGAACGTTTGGGATCGAAAAAAAGTTTTATTTGTGGTTTGAATTTTTGATCCCCAAATGAAGTAAAAAGTGCCACAGTACTAACATATTAGAGGTTTAGCAACAGTACGTTAAATACTTAAACAGCAGGGGGTTGAAAGTCTGAGTAGATACCTTATTTGATGTGCACGATTGTGTGTTGTGGTGGAAACTGGCTGAAAGGGGGCTCCTGGAGATAACTTGTCGAGGCAATGAACTGATAAAGACTTTTCATCTGAAAAAAGTAATTAAAGAGAGAAATATTCTCAATTTCAAAGAATTGTTGAAGGGTACCTAAAAAATCAACAACCACAGCAACAACAACAAAACTATATTTTTCCCTGCCAGTGGCTAGGAGTGAAAGTTGACAAAAATCAGAAACAAATAACCGTCTTGTATAAACACGACAAAGATTTTCTTCAACATATTTCCTAAAACAAGAGAGTTTTGTTTAAGCCCGTTCGTTCCTGGACTTTTCGTGAAAAAACTGACGCCTTTTGAAAGATATACTAAAGCCGTTTTCTGGTTATAGTTGAGACGAAAACAAGAAAGTCAAAGATTTAAAGAACCAAATGATTAAACCATGCAATCTCTGTTTTCAATCTAGAAACTGCACTGAGTTTCTAATTTGAAACTAAAGGTTTTGGAATTTTTTTGAGGCGTACAACTGAAGAAATCTCATCCGGGTATACTTTGAAAAAGAAAATTAGTTTGAGCTGCACAAGTTGTGCCCACCAGTGACGTCACAAATGGGGACAATGATCGTAGTAAACCGCGGGCAGTTTTGGGTGGTCTTTGTAAATGAAGAAGTTTCTTTAAAAGAATACGTTAGGACCTTTCATTGAGATAAATGACTTCATATAGAAAAATATAAACGCACATTTAACTCATTCCTACCTCTTGTGTGGCGTTGGTGGTCTTTTGAGGGATGTTATAGGTGACAAGGACTTGTAATGTGCTTGGTGTTGAACTTAACGGTGCGCTGAGAGTTTGTGAACTTAATGTCGCAACAATAATGGAAGCGATAAGAACCTTTGAAATTTCCATTTTTCAATCTGTTGAGAGAAAATGAATACAATTATAAAACTGATATAAATTTGATGGTGAATTCTATTTCACGCACATTTCGAGAACGACATTTTCTCTTCCTCAGCGACACTAAAGTAGCTGTTAGTCCAATTCATATCATTTGTTGAAACAAAATTGCCCTACAGTGTTCACACGGAGTAGAGATCAAGACGTAAAAAGACACATCGTGGTTCAAAAACTAGTAGAGTGTACCGTTGACTCGAAAAAACAGGGCAACAAACGTATCGCGGCTCTGCGTTGAATTGAGCGCAAAGGTAACTTCCGGTAACTTTTCCTTACCTTTCACTTAGTGGTTTGAAGACTCAACTTGTTTGACGTGAGAATTAGTTTGAATGAGGGAACTGAAGTCTTGGTGCGCTTATATGCTAACTGTAGAGGAAGACTTAAGTTGCCTTCCATCATTAAGGGAAAGTTTTTGATTTATTGCTGCGACAAATCTTTCTTAGTCTAATAGTAAGGTTTCAAATCATATTATATTCTGGGAAATATTCCTTCCTACCATCATACATGGCATTCATGGCATTTTTTGAGATGCGGTATATTAGATATAGTATTACGTCTTGTGCAAGACGTAACTCAATGCAGACGCACATCATTTTTCTGTAAATGTAATCGTTTTGGATCATTCCTGCGACACATCTTTCCGTGGTTGATTCACCTCCAGTAATCATGTTATATTCTCGCAAGTATTCCACATTACCCTTGGACATGAAAAAAATCGTTAACGTTTAGTTTTAATAGGAAGCGTTTTTAAGAACATCATAGACTTTCCAATACCGGAACCCTCGCTAAATGATGAAAACACAATATTGAGATTTCTCCCTAAGATTTCCCTTTAATTTCTACCTAGAACTGGTTTCTATTTTCCTGAAATTTCATAATCCATCTCTTTTCTGAGGCGAAATATCAGGGGCATATTTGTTTTACTTCAGATCCGTTCCTAAACGGAAGGTTGTAATACTCGTCACGGGTAACGCAAAATCTGCACCGATTGTGTCAATTGTCACAGGAACTCAGTTCGATTTAAGTGTATTATTAGCAAATGTCAGTGGATATGATATTGGATATCAGGCTGAGAATATTCCCCATAACATGAACCTTACTTAGTTGAATAGCATAGCAAAATTTAATTAAAGTTCTTCAAGAACTTCCGTTGATTTGAAGATGGCAATACTGTTTTTTGTGAGGCTAACGTTCCAATAAGGTTTTTTTTGTTACAGTAATCCAAGAATATCTTAATCATCTTATAGGGCCCTAGAGGGCTCGAGGGAACTGGAATTAGACAGTTTGTTTATTTAAGCAACAGTTGGTGATAGAAAGAGACAATTATTAGCTTCTTGGTTATTTAAGGTTAAGTGACTGACATATTTCAATGTGGCCCAATATCGATAATGGCCGAAGTAATGTGGTGTTTGACTAGTTACCACTCCCTTGGCTATTTGCACTTAAGAAAGATTCTTTTTTATTATAAGAATTGTTATTATTTCTACTTTGTCGTTGTTCGAGATGACAAATTATGCCATAAGGAAACAAAAATTTTGTCTGAAAAGAGACAAATCCCTAAGGATGGGTTTTTGTAGGAAAGACCCGCCAATTGAGGACGTATTTGTTAGCTACAAACTTGAAAAAAAAAAAAGAAACAAGCTCCGTTTCCCCCCTCCACCCACCCCCGAAATTAAAGAGGAACCCGCGGCAACCTCGCTTCCAGGGTTCTCTCCCACCAGCCCTGCGGAGCGCGAGAGAGAACCTGGGAACGGGGTTGAAGCCGCGGAAGATGTACTTTTTTTCATTCACCACTTTGGACGCGCGAGTTATTAAAACCAATTTCAAGGCGATGAAAAACAAAAAAGCCTAGCCATTATTTTTACCACTACACAGCCTTGTCAGGACCAAAATAAAAACAGAATACAAGAGTGTTGGTTTTTTTTGGTTTATTGTTAATGTAACAACACGACGCCTATAATGATTATGGTTCTTAAAACATCTGTTATAGATTACCGTAAAAACTGATCTTGATCAGTTACAAACGACGATATCAGTATTTGATGCACTTTAGGATTAAAGTAACTACTTACACTCTTTATGGAGACTAGGAAAAAAGAAGAAACGGTTTCTATTGGAAAAACCAGAGTAGAAAAAATACAATAAAGTAAAATAACCCCGACTAACATTTTTTCTTAGTAAGCCTGGTTGGCCAGGCTCACATTAACCATAACATCATATGTAAATAAAGAACATTCTCTAATCTCTTAAAACAACTTTGTCTTGTTTTTTCCTGAGTATTGTGGAATGCGACGTCTTGCTTGCATTTACCAGGGTGTAAAGCAATCGTTTTTTCCTTTTATTAATAGAAGACACAAGTGGCGACTTCTTTAATCACTTCACTTAGCGAGTAGAGAAGTACGTAGCTGCGGTAAATCGTCACCATGTCTTTTGTAAGAGGACCTTGCTGTGAAGAAAATGGACTTCATTTCAAGATAACTTTTGAAAACAGGTGTAACCACATTACCGTTACACTTTTTCCACATCGCACCTACATGAGGTAACTAAGCGCACCATTACATTTTTCGGGAATGACCGTGCAGCTACAGTAGCTCAAGTTATTTGATTTTTCTTATTCCCTGCCTAAACTAAAGGAAAATTTTGTACAAAAGTGCCTCTTTAAGGAGATAACAGCAGTATACTAAATTTGACTTGGGTTGATACAGTAATGATCTTCTGTTGACTTTTGTGCTATATTTCATCATTAAAAACACCGTTCTTTGGTACGAGAAGTGATTATCTTACCAGCAAGTTACCTTGAACCAGTGTTTGGAGGTACACACGAATGATGTGGTTCATCTGTGCCGTAAAATTTCCAGTTGCAGTGGTTGGTACAGGGAAGGTGTTCTTGTGCATCTGAAAAGTTTGCAAAAGATGTTCAGACTTATCAGAATTATTTTCAAAGAACTCAATCGCTGTCTCCAGTTGTTCAAATGGAGGATAGCGCTATCCAATAGATAGCGCCATTGGTTTTTCTAATACGTATCGACTGGATAGTGATTTATCCGATGGATAGCGCTACTCAGCTATTCAAAAACTGGGGCGTGGAGAGGAATTAAAATTAAGTAATTATCTATTTCGTTTTGCATGTAATCTTTCGGAATACATGCATGCTGGCCTAAGGGGTTTTCACGATATACTGTAAAAACACACAGAAAATATCGATAGCTTTTAGGCTGTAAAAGTGTTTTAATCATAATTTATGCAAAATACTTTGTCGGGTTCCTTGTGTCGTTTCGTTTGGACTACCTCTAAACCTTGGGAGAAATACATGTTGCAGATTTATTTTAAAATAAATCACTTTAAACTAGTATCACATTCTTGGCCTGCAAAAAATGTACTCCAAGTTTGGTTCACTTCGAAAAGGTTATACTTCAGTTCAAATCATGTTACCTCACGACTAAGCATTACAGATGTCGCATTGATGTCAGAGCTTATGTCCCAGAGCACCTGAGCCAGCAAATTGTGCAGTGGCCCTTGATTTTGTTCATAGGATAAGGCCATGTACAGCGGACTTCTGAAAATATCCATCTTCTCGTAGGCGATTGTAAGATTTTCTTTTAATTGCTAAAGAAAAAAAAAAGATATTCAAATACATTCCTTACAGCCACGCTAGAACTGTCAAAATTTATTGGATTTTGATCAGAGAAACAAACCCGTTGAAGCAAGATAAATTTAGTTCATTTGCTTATTGTAAATTTCAATAAAAAATCTAGTGAATTTATTCACGGCTTGTGACTAAATCATCAAACTAATGTCAGTCTTGAGATGAAGGTTTCAGAATGGATACCTGGTTTAAGGAGCAAGATTGTGTGTTGATTTGTGGCGGAAAGCGGCTGAAGGGTGGCTGGAAGAGATAACTCGTTGAGTTGATGAAGTGATACATGTTTCTCATCTGCAATGCAACAAATAAATAAATCAATAAAAATAAATAAATAAATAGATATTTATATAAATAGATGGATTGGATAGTCCATCTAATAGTCGACGAAAACTAGCCTGAATTTCAACCGTCTCCTCGAGTTGCAAACTCCCGAGTGTGATTTCTGCATCAGCGAGCCGGTAATGACGTCCAGTGACGTCACTACTCCTTTACTTAATTAATTCATGCAAAAAGATTTTCATCTAGCAAACAAAGAAATATCGCCCGGAAAGGTCTACATGGTACATAATTTTTTTACTCTCGGCTTCCAGTTTATGGCTAGTGACTCACTGAACGATATGAGCGGCTTGTAGATTTAGATGTCGTTCCCCGGGGAGACGGCTGAAATTCAGGCCAGCAAGAAACGAGAAAAAAGAAAAACGGCAGACCTCTTTTTTTGGTAATAAATAATCAACAATTCTGTTTTCAACCCTTTTGTGCTTTACTCTCTTGTACAGTACAAGTAAATTCGCAAAAAGGTTTTTGACTCATATCATGGCCAGCAAGAAACCAGAAACAATTAACAATTATCTCTTCAACGTTTTTATGCATCACTGTCAGTGGACAGTACAAATAAAATCGCAGGAAGTTTTTGATTCATGTATTAGATTTCCTATTCTAGAAATAAATGTGATCATAGTCTTTTGGTTTATACCTAATAGTTAAGGAATGCACGCGAGAGTTTGATGTAGTTTTCCAGTAACATGTATTGGAAGAGGGAAGGGTATTTTGTGTCTAGCCCTAAATAACCTTTCTTTAGGGAATATTACTTCTGATCAGCTACAAACCTCACACCATTCATACCTCATATGTGGCATTGGCAGTTTTGGATGGAATCACATAGGTGACGAGGAATTGAATTGTGCTTGGTGTTGACTGTGGTGGGGCGCAGAGAGTTTGTGAACTCAACGTCACAGTAATTATGGCAGCAATAATCCCCTTAAAAAGTTCCATTTTGAATCTGTAAATGAAGAAAAATATAAAGAGCTGAAGA